ATACCTACTGTTGCCCAGTCGTTGAATTTAGTCTCTCTATGGGAAGTTAATGTTTTCGATTTAAATAAGTTATCAAATTCATTTTTAATTAAACCAAATATTGTGTTATATAAAGTATTTGGATCCTCCGGTATATGGGGTAGGGAATTTAAACTATTGCCGATATTATTTTGAAATCTAATTATTCGTTCTGTGGTAATCGGTCTGCAGAGAAATTGGTCTACCTTCTTGCTCATTTTACAATTAAAAGAAGCCAATTGGCCACTATGGTCGGATCTTAAGCAATTTATTATTGATACATCTATTTTATTATCACGAATTATTATAGTACATCTATCACTCGCGGGATAGTTATAGAAAGTGAGATATACTGCGTTCCTCTTATCTTGAATTTACGTAGTGAAGATATTCGATATGTCCACCTCCTTTACTCCTGCAGACATTCCTGTGTGTGCCGCCGGTTGCGGGTTGGTTTTCCACATGCTTAACACAAACCTACTTAATAACGACACCTTTTCAATAAGTTGCTATCACAATCTAATCATTAATTAATAAAGGTTGTTTAGTGTTACATTTGTACAGTATTTACACAATTATAATACGGGATCGCTAAAACGTTGCCATTGCAAAATTCTCATGCAATAATTTGTAATAATATTGTAATCATGCAGTCCAATTAATGCAACCTAATAACAATAGTAAAATAATCAATAACAAATTTAATAATATGAAATGTAAATTTTATAAGAAATCTTCAATATTATAGAATGTCCTATCTTTTAGGTAATTAAATAATAATTTGTTAAATTCTGCTCAATCGTTGCAATTCCTAATTTCAAGTGGAAGTTTGTTATATACCTTCGTAGCCATTACTATTACACTCTTTTGAAGTAGAGCAGTTTTACTTGATCTACTTTTCAGTTGTTGAGAACGGCGGGCTTGTGTGACGAATTCAAATAAATGAAGATGACACTTTACGAAAAGTGAAATTTCAAATATATATAAGCATGGTAGAGTCAGTATTTTCAAATTTTTAAAATGTGGTTGACAGCTATCTGTTTTTTTCTAGCCGCATATAGTCCGAATACATCTCTTGATCTTTGAATATGCGTTCAATGTGCGGTGCATTTCCCCAAAATTTTTTCAAAAGTTGCCTTTGGATTTATCTGCTTGTTATTATTGATGATATCCCACGTTGCCTTTGATTTGTTTGCCGATGTGTATATGTTATGATTGTTTTGCGATTTTTGAGTTAACTTAATTATATGGCTGTATCTTTTAGAACCTAATTTAAATATTTGCTTATCGGAGCAAATTTTTGTTAATCTATATCGCCACTGAAGCCATCGTTTACGCTTACTACATTTTTTAATGCCCCTAGAGAGCCATTTTGGTCGCACTTCTGTCCTAAATTGCACTTTGACTATTGGAAAACATAGATCATAAAGTAATTTGAATAAATCATAGAACCTAGTGAAAGCCTCTTGTCCGTCCTGAGTATCGTAAACTTCTACAAAAGGTAGATGAATGAGATATTTTCTAAATTTTTCAAGATACTCTTGACAATTTATTTTTTAAAATATTTACATTAACGTCTCCGCATACTATAATCTTGATTTTGTTATTAGATATAATTAGGTTTAGAACATCATCAAAATGGTTCAAAAATGACTGAAAATTTCTTGTAGCATCTTTACATTTCAGTACTCTATACATATACACACAGAATTACTATTTTATGGCCAATCAATCCTATCGCGCAACATTCAAAAACATTAGGTATATTTAACTTTGTAATATTTGTGATAACTTCAAATTTTAGACCATTTCGAACTAATATGCAAGAACCACCATCTCTACTGTTACTTGTGTAGGACGCAGCAATAATAAAACCTGGTATTCTTAATAAACAGATGTCATCAGGTACCATGTTATGTTCTGTAAAGCATAATATGTCTATACGTTTACCTATGTATTCCATATCATCGAAACAAACCGTCAATAAATCGGCTTTATTAATTAAGCCATCTATGTTCTGATGTAGGATTTTAATAGATTTATACACGAAAAAACTGATCATTAACAATGTTACCACTCTGTTTGTACGGTGTCTGGGATGTTTTTTCATATTCCACTTGTGACTTCGAATTAACAAAGACAGTACTATCAGTTTGAGTGCAGACGTCATTAACCGTAACAGTTACAGATTTTTCGAGCATGTGTTGCTTATACCTTCTATGATTTGACATTCGCAATATTTCTCTAAGTACATTGCGACATAAATAGGTAGCATCTTAGAATAATTACGCATAGAAACCTAGTCCGCACACGCTAAGTGAGGCAAATTGAAGCGCTCCCAATGGGCCTACACGAGCTCAAGGTCAACTTGCACCGCGAACAGCTCAAGAATTTTAGCTAAAAATGACGAAATGTGGGGTAAATGAGTGTAAAAATACGTCAGACAAACATAAAATAGATACTAACATCACATTCCACAAGAAAGTAACGCGTTTCAACTTGTATTTTTATATAAATATTCACTAAAATGGAAAATGAACCTACTACTAAAACTAGCCTACATGAATTTGATTTTTGCCTCCCTTGTGACAGTTCGTTTCATATGAAACTATCATTCTATGCGTTATTATTATAAGAGCAGCATAATATTTACGTTTTAGGCACATCTGGCAAAATTCATATCAATAAAAACAGAATTTTCAAAATTATTGCAAATAAATCTTAGCTCCTGATTAAGTTTTGTTTCATTCAAATGTTTGTTATAAGGAGTTTCACACACTAGTACATTTGTATTTTTAATTGAATAGAGCCATGACGTGAACAGATATTTCACATCAAATGGGCTTGTATCGTTCTTGAAACCAATTACAGGTACATAATCTTCATTTGTTAAAGTATTTATTTCCGATTTACAAGACGAAATCACATTTACGACGTTGGCTCCAGGTTTGCAGAAACAGAAAACATTGTATTTAGTTCCCAACAGTTCTTGCAGTATATGTTGAGTTCCAGTGCCTTGCTCATCGGCCAATATTATCACCCTATTTTTTTGTTGCTCGACCGGCGTTTCTTTATTGTTTATTGTGTTTGGTTTATCATTTTCATTATAATTATTAACAATTTAATTATTACTTATTTTCTCCATTGTTTGTTGCTCGGTGTCTTGTGAGTAATTTAACTTAGTAGTATGCAGGCTTTTACGTTTCTTTCGCGCCGATGAATGATTTTTTACGGTAGATGTACATATCTTTTTCATGTGCCTATGTTGATTCTCTTGTTTAGAATTTGTTTTTTTTTAATTAAAATTTTCTGATAGTAAGTTCTCTATTTCCTGTTCAGCAGATGCTAAGTCTGACTGCAATTTAAGTATAATATCTTTCATTTCATCTGTGTTGTTAATATTCAATTCTGGGCAACTTGGTTGTAATATGCAGTTATCATTTTTCTGTTCCTGCGATTCCCCACATGATTCATCACTTGATAAGATGCTAAACGTATTCTCAATTGGTCTATTAACATGTACTTTCTCTCTGATGGTTACGAAGGTTTCGCATTTATCTTCTTATCTGGTATAAGTAACATGAGCAATTCAAAAGTAAAAGTTAATTGTTGGTCTTTTAATGAATTGTAATAAATAATCAAAGTTAGCAATGTGACAATGATACTCAAAAAACAAGAAAACGAATCGTGGAGGTGTTCTGTCAGAATGCATGAAACGATTTATTACGTTTGTTAAAATTGAAACTACTCAACTGAGTTCGTCGTATGGTTCATTTAAAATTAAATTTACAAAATTTTACATATAATATAATTTTACATACAGCGAACACTTCATTACGCAGTTAGTAAATTCTTGTATTATAATTACTTCTAAATGCAATTGAAAAATAAACTAGTACAAAAAACGAACACCCGATAATGTCAAAAAATTAATAAGTAACTAGTGCAACTCTAGGCGGCGATTTCGATGCTACACACCGGTTTACGTTAGGTTACGGGGACTATTGTAAATTAAATTGACGCATGTTGTAAAACGTGTTTACTTAATTTCGTTCAGGTTAGTCTTATGACGCAGACAATATAATCAATCAATCAATTAGCCTATTGCAGTCCACTGCTGGACATAAGCCTCCCTGAGCGTACGCCGTAGTGCCCGATCACCCGTTTTCTGCATCCAACCACTACCCGCGACCTTCTTCAGATCGCCGGTCCATTTAGCAGGAGGACGTCCTACGTTACGTGTGCCAAAACTTGGTCTCCACTCGAGAACCCGTCTACTCCATCGCTCATCGGTTCTGCGACAGATGTGGCCAGCCCACTGTCCCTTCAGCTTGCTACATTTCTGGACGATGTCCACAACTTTAGTCTTGTGACGTCGTTCCGGACTTTGTTCCTTAACGAGATAATATAATATAGAGTCGAATTGCTGACAGGGTCATTTAGAAAAATTGACTTTTCTAAAATAGTCCGGGGTGGGTGTTTCGGGAGACATTATTGTTCCTATGCATTGTATCTTATGATTAATTGAAGGCTGTTCTAAGAGAGACGCATTTGTTCGGTAAATGTACATATTGGACCGCCTTGGAAACATGGAATTTAGGAGCGTAACTAAAAGCGTACTCTCGAAGTAATTAAATAAAATACCCGCATAATTAATCATTCACATGATGATTGATCGAAGGAAGCGACTGATGGGGTATTATTTGCTGGTCAACGATGGAAGTCAACGACCTATTAAAAGTGCAACGTTTTTATCCTTACTAACTCCCAGTTGTTGCCTCCAAACAGCTGTTGATTTTATGATTTAGGGTTGACAACACAAACTTTACACTTAAAGCAGACTTTCAGTACAATTAAGTACATATGCAAGTTTTTAAATATTCGGCAAACAATATCAGTTCAAAATGAAACTTACTTTTGTGCTTTTTCTCCTTTTATTGCTGCCGCTTGACGAGGATAAAGACACGGGTTCTCAGAGCCCTTATGAGGGCCTGGAAATTGTAAAAAACCCCGGAAGTTTCAGCTGTTATTATCAGCTGTGGCTTCCGTTTAAAAGTGTGCTCAGTCATAATCCCATAGCTTAACCGTTACGATACCGATACTTATCAAAAAGTCTTAAATCGAGCTTTTATTTTTATTTGAGTTGCAAATGACTGCATGTTTTGTATTCGACGTGTTGGTGTCACAGAGTCTGCTGCGCCTTCTGGAGTGTCCGGTGTGCCTGGAGTGGATGGAACCGCCAATCGCGCAGTGCCGCCGCGGCCACCTGGTGTGCGCCCGTTGCCGCACGCGGCTAGCTTACTGCCCCGTTTGCCGCACTGCTTTCTCTTCAGTCCGTAACCGCGCCATGGAGGGAGTACGTATCTATTTCTGTTATTGCTCTTGTGCATATTTAAGAAAATTTGCACACGCTATTTATTGAGATACGAACAAACCACAGTCAGGTCAGGTCAAGTGGCAGGAAGAAGTTGTTTGAAATTGCGTAACATGGCGCAGGAGCAAATACTGTCAGTGTCAATTTAGGCTATCAGCGCAAAAGTTACACCACTTAATTTGTTTTTTACAATATTACTTTAAACGATACTAAAGTACATAACATGTACATAGTTTAATTCAGTGAAATATATATATTAAGTTTATTATAATAATACATTATTTTACTTTTTATTATATTTTTGCGCTGATAGGCTCAATTAGCAATACGCTGTGCAGGTGGCCGAAATGCTACGGTACCCGTGCCGGCACGGCTGCGGGCGCGAGGTGCGCCTGCGCCGCCGCGCGCCGCACGAGGCGTCGTGCGAGGCGCGCCGCTACCGTTGCCCCGCACCCGCCTGTCACGACAAGCCGCCCTACCCGCACGCCGAACTATCCATGCATTTCCAGGTCACAATGTCGCTCAACTCAGTTGCACATTTTTCTTTTTAACAAGCTTTTTTGGATACTGAATACTCTAGAGTTGCATTGCCTTGAACTCGTGTAAAGTTAAACTAATAGCCTTACACACGTAATTTGTAAGTTCACGGCATTCTTTAACATAAGCTCTTCCGGGACGATACAACAATTTAATGAGGTTTTCTTCTGTTAGGTCTACTACTCAATCAAAAGCAAATGTTTTTTATACAGTACTCGACCGAACGCCAAAATGTAAAATCAAATTATTTTACAGAATAAACACATATCGATGCTAAAATTCGGGCGGAAGCACCAGTTCTCGATGAAGGTCAATACGGAACAGCACGACAACTGGATTATAATGACTCTGCACGAGTTATTCCATCTGCGCGTCGATGTCGACATTCGCTCTTGGGGCGTCGTTGTATACGTCGCTTACATCGGACCTAAGTGTAATGCGGCAGATTATACATACGAGGTAGTAGCTGTCTTAACAGGTAGAATGTATTTAATCTTATCAAGATTTCGCACATCTGGGACAGTCACACGCATTAATATGCAGGTATGTGCCTGCATAAACGAACCAAAAACCAAAACGAACCAAAATAAATTTTTTTTCGGGAATTTTATTTGGATTTTTTATAAACTATACAGGGTGACGAGATAAATATTTAGAGGCAAATGAGTAGGCGATACCCCATACCGAATATGTATATACCACTATCTTATATCTACTACCACTATCGTATATAACACTATCTTATTTTTAAATATTTTTCTCTAAGGAAGATACTGCCTCTAACATTTTGTAATAAACATGCAGCGAGTGCCCGTTACCCTTACCGGCCTCTGCACAAGCTTTCCCACGGGTTTCGTACCCTCGTCCGCCCCCGCTTGTTGAAACGCCGGTCACCCGCTATCGCCCGATTAGTTCGCTTGCGCTCTTGTGTTAGACAGTACGTCACGTTTGTCATCGCGTGTTGTGTATTTTCGTGGTGTATCGGTGTATTCATCTGTGTAGTTCAGTGGAGTGCAGTGACGTTCATAACGATACTTTATTAGTTTTGGCACATGATGCGATGTTACGTTATGCAAATGATGTTATTAACCCTAGATCACTAAACATTAGTCTTACAGACTACTCGACTCTA